AAAGATTAGTTCACAGAGAATGATTCGTTCACAGCAAAAGATTAGTTCACGGCGAAAGATTAGTTCACAGAGAATGATTCGTTCACAGCAAAAGATTAGTTCACGGCGAAAGATTAGTTCACAGAGAATGATTCGTTCACAGCAAAAGATTAGTTCACGGCGAAAGATTGGTTCACAGAGAATGAGTCGTTCACAGCGAAAGATTAGTTCACAGTGATTCGTTTGCAATGAAAGATTAGTTCACAGTGAAAGATTAGTTAGCAGAGAGAGATTTGTTCGCAGTGAGTGATTCGTGAGTTCAATATGAATAAATATGTAATATGACTCGGTAGTCACGAGTCACGAATCTTTCATATGACTCGGGAGTCACGACTCATACGAAAGGTTCGTTCATTTTGAACGAATCACTCGCGAACGACACATCACAAGTAAACATGCGTTATTTAAGGAAGCAAAAGCTAACACTACGTGCTAATGGTTACCTCAATGCCATCTGAAAACGTTTCAAAACTCATAAAAGCACATAATTAATTTCACTAACCTGCTAGATATTTGCCGGCTCTCCAAGGAACTTGAAAAGCAGACTTTAACCACAACCGGCTCGCCTCCCCACTGGCTGTCCAACAACTGGGATGCTCTGTCGCAGGTTGACAAACATCCAGACGATGGTTGGGACTGAAGCTTGACATAACCCTGGTGGCTACTACGGCTCCCTCCCTGCTGGACACCGGCGCGGCCCCTGATGCTTCCGCTCCAAATACTCATCGTCCATAGACTCTATGACTGCCGCCACTCCTCAACCGGACCGACGTCTCAACGGCCTTATTCCATCGGTGCACCAAATCAGAAGTCAGAAGTCCCGGTCCACAACTTTCGTCTCATGCCAGAGGCTTCTGAAGGAGGCTCTGTCACTAATATTCATTGTCTGAATATTCTGCACAGTACAAAGTATTTAGTTTAGGCAGGTTTTGACACTAATTTGAGAAAACAAATTCAGGTCACGTCGAGAGGTGCTGGTTCTCGTCCCAGCGGCTTCACACTCAAGCTGCAAACCGCCCCTAGGATCTGAGGTTCAACTATTGGTCAAATGCTCCTCTCTAGTACCCTGGAAGGCGTCAACCTGTCAACCTGTTTGCCTTGGGAGACCTTACCAGGGGCATTAAGGCCCCGACAACATAGCTCCTAGGTTCATTCGGATACTCAAACCCCTCCACCTTTTATAATTAATATATTTTTAAGTTAAGAGAAGTTACATACTACCTTTCAAATGCCTTATTAGAAAATCAGTTGCAAAATTTGCTTTATCCCCAAACCTAAGCAAGATACCTAGTATATATTTAAAAAATATATATACTTTTCCCACCCTTTTTCTGCTTTCCCATTTCTTTTTTAGTTTTCACCGACTCTTTGCGGGAACAAAATGAACTGAGCAGCCGTAGAATATTTTTTTATGGCTTGTTCAGTAGAAATAGCGTGTCCTTCGTGAAAGAATACTCAAGCATCTAATTGTCCTTCCTAATGCTTTTTCCGTGAATAAATCATCTGCAGGTATTGAATCCCTTTCATTTGACAAACACAGGCCCACCATTCAGGCAGAAAAGAATAGAGTCTGAATTACTGCGAGGTGAAGAGTTACCTTGCACAGAGAGGAATTAAAGACCGTTTGTCAATAGTTTTGGATCAGCTATGATGACAATAAAAGCAGCATTCTTGTGTTACCTGGCCAGGGGAATAGAGCCACAATGGACTTCAAACAACAACCAGCGCACAATCCAACAATTGATTTTTACATGAGGGACCTTGCACTTTCACAACAAACATTTTCAAGCAAAAGACGAGCTTGAAGGGAAACGTTTGAATAGCCATTGTGCTACCTTCTTGCTTTTGTTAGGTTGAACATAGACTGTTCGTTGTGTTGCAGTCGATGACCTCAATCTCATCATTTCTATTCTGGTGCCGGGAAGTCATAAAATCTGTCTTAGGAAAGAGTTGTTGAACGTTGCTCTTGCAATAGTTCATAGCATAAGAAGTTCTCTGGTGTGTTTGTTTACCGGGCACCGTGACGCAACCTTGTCTGCTGCTGTAGAATTTGTTGCTTATAACAACATTCTACCCAAATAGTTGACGCAAGAACTTTATAAAGCTTTTTTCCAAGGATAATTGTGAAGCCCATGGAAAAATCATTGTCACTGTCTTTTCACCTGGAAACTTATATATAGAAACTAGTCTTGATGCCAGTCTATTGTCACTGTCTTTTCACCTGGAAACTGGTCTTGATGCCAGTTCATCAAGACCACATCATTTCATTTAATTGCACTTAATTACTCTGACAAGTATTTTCCATTAGTGATGGGCGATACTGGATTTTTTTTCATTTGACCCGATTACTTTTTTGGTCTATTTTCCTTTTTTTTATATACCCATATCGAAACGTGTGTTTTTTTGACCTAATAAAGCAAATGACAATTACTGGCCATTTAACAACTTTTATATGTAAATTCCATAACATATTAGTCATAAGAAATTACATAACTTTAATTTTTTACACAATGTAACTTAAATAGTTTAACTGCTACCATTAAGGGACAAATACAGTATGTCTGTTAACTGCTACCATTAAGGGACAAATATGTCTAGTGGACGGTGATCACATGGAGTCACTGCTCTCTTCTGGTTAATGGTCACATGACATGAATGGATTAGTTCAAGTTTACATAACCGGGGTGGGGTGTTGGAGCACAAAAGCCTGTTTGTCGAAAGTTACCCTTGAAGACATATGCGTTGTTTATGGGTTGTTTTTTATTATTATTATTATTATTATTTAATGTATTTATCTACCTTTTTAATTGTAGACATCTTATTATTTTACTGGACAAGCTCGAATCAGAACCAAGATGTAATACTTTACCACGGAAAGCGTCTTATGCAGTGCATTTTAGCGACGTAGTTAAAAACTTTAACGTGTTTCGCACATTTGGTAAATCCAGAAAATGGAATAGGGCAGACAAGGATTCACGACATCTTTTACAAAGCAAATTAAAGTGAAAAGTAATGAGAGCCAAAAGTTCGGCTCGCAGGACTTTTGCAGTTTGTCAAACGGGCAAAACAAGTTCAAGATAAATAGTGGAGCCGTAATATACAACTCCTCATTACTGCTGTTTACAAGTCATTAATTTGATATACTGTACGTGTTGACTGAACTGAGTATCAAGTTCAATCTTCTTCGTCTATTTGTTTGCTATTAAACTGATTTTATATATATATATATATATATATATACGTATATAAATAATAATGAATTTAGCGTTAATGCTGAATTGCATTATGGGGGTTCGAAATGAGTGGGTCACAATTAGAAATAAAAAAAGAAAGAAATTAATAGTCAAAACAAATTGAAGACTTAGCAACTCAAAGCAAATTTAATAAATGTACTAAAAGATAAATTTGTAGTGTTTAATAATATTCTGTTTTAAATGACCGAGGTTAATTTATAAAACGGAATACAGTACACAGTGACGTGGCTCAGAGTACGTTAAATTCAACTCTGTTACTGCCATCTTGTGGGAAAAAAAGTATGTGTCTCCAAATTGAAGGCAAACAAACGGAATAGTGTTTATTTATAATCTAATATGTGTTAAACAATTGTCTGTGCTGTTTTGTTGTGATAAAACAAGAGCTGGAGAAATAAATCTGAAACATTCGTTTCATTTGTCACGCGACGGAGAGCTCGGACCTCATTTGCTCTCATTCATCTTCACGTTGTGGTGTGTTTTTCTTTCTTATGTTTTCACATGGTTTTAATTACTTATGGCATTTTGTGTACTTTGTAGACTTTGTCAGCGGAAGCCAACTATATTGTCTTCAGTATTTAGTGTGGGAGAAGCGCAGCCTTCTTTACAACGCCCACAATAGGGCTAAAGCGCCACCTGCTGTAAAACGATTGAAATTGTTCGTTCAAGATTCGTTCACGACTCGTTCGTTCGTTTTACTGCTCGTGAATCAAACATCCGAATCAGTAAAAAGAATCGGTCTTCCCATCACTAGTGGACAAGCACAAAGAGCCCAGGAGCCAATATTTTAAGGTGCGCTCAATAGTCCGGAAATTATGGTAATTGCTGATAAACCTACGTGATGTCTAAGTGGAAAAAGTCAAGTTCCAGAAAAGCACATGTATTGACTTTGTATTTGTCTAAACTACTTTCTTGAATGAAAAAAAATACAAACACCAGAGAGGAAATAAAGATTTTCAATTTTTATTGACTTTTTTGGAGCAATTTCTTTTTCCAGTGTCATCCGTAACTGTTCACTTCAATTGTATTTGTGTCATCGTTCATTCGGGACTAGGATGATATAAACCAGGAGAAGCCGATGCGCAATGTCGAATTAAAAGTCAGAGGCACAAGTGTGCATTCAGAACAAAAAAAAGGGAAATTGTTCTAAGAGCTTGAAGATGGACTGCAACCTGAATTCCTCCAGTGAAGTGAGTGTTTAAACAACTCAACATTATGGCTATATGGTTTGTATCTTCCTAGTTGTAAGGCTGATATAATAAGGGACATTGCTATTTGACATAATCTGCATAGCAGGTGGAAGACAAAGGGACTGGACACTGATTCAACACAGGCAAGTCATGGCAGACAGGATGTAACTAAACACAGTTGGCACATGATGGTTTTTTCTGTTTAGTTCACACACTTACCAATTTCCCCATTGGTAGTTAAATTGCTTTTAGAGTGTCAAAAAAAAAAAAAAATAGTTTGAAAAGCTCACAGCCTAGTGTTTGAAATTTAGTTGCGGTCTTGACCTTGGCATATGTGGTAGTTTGAGGAGACTGTAGCAGCCTTGATAAAAACCTTTTCTCCCCAACAGCTTTCAACCCTCAGTGCTCAAGTGTGTATGGCTACATGACGCATGCCACGACACGATCATAGTCCCACAGTTTTAACACCACATGTGAAAGACACGATGGAGCACACAGACACACACACACACACATCGCTAATGTGCTTGAGTTTGACTTGGCTACATGTGTAAAAGCAGATGCAGGTTACCAAAATGTCTGAAGAATTCCGTGTCAGAATTCTAGTTTGAGTTTTTACCCAATCTGCAAAGGCAACTTGGGAGGGGATTGGGGGGAGGGGTTGCTCAGGTAACTAAGCTCACAAGTGGGCTGCTTACGAGTTTGGTGTAACAGTTTTAAACCACAATGAAATGTGTCCATTTAGCGTTTTTTTTCACATCAGTTCTTTTGCTGCCACTTCCGGCACTGTTTTCAAATGGTTTAACAGTTTTCCTTAGAAACAACAACCTTGCGTATCAGGATATTTATACTAAAATTTTGCAGAAACTGGCTAGGATAGTGTAATGTCATGTTTGGAACTGAAAACATTCTGGGGCAGTCCCGATGTGCAGTAGGAGCTGAAAAGGTGGTACGGATGGAGGAGGTCGGACTTCACTCTGGTTTTGGCCTGTCTGGAGCAGTGCTGCTTAAAAACGCTTTGGTCCCCAAGGAGACGTCTTAGTTGCCACTGGGGCCCCAAAACTTGGGAAGTCTTCAGAGCTGGACATGTCAGGAGCCTAAAAGGTAACGAGAACCGAAAAATAAGGCATTTAGAATCCAACTAGGCTAAAAAAAAAAATCATGCACGGGAGAGAAATTAAATTTAAAAAAAACGAATTGCGCACATTACTCGTGTTTGATCTTTAGTACTGGAGTGTTTCAAAAATGCGTTATCGTATCGACATCTGAAGGGAACACCCAAAGAAGAAGAGCTACTTTTATAGAAATATGGCTCGACCTTTGTTGATATGTAATTTCATACTGCTTTGATTATACCCATACACCTGAGCTTTGCAACAGGGGAGTGTAAAAGCCATACCACAGTGCAAGCAGCATTTGGGTATTTGGCATTCACTGTTTGTAAAGTCAGAAAATATGCTGCCGCTTTTTTCTGTGAAACACGGTAATAGTAGTGGTTAGAATACAGAGAACTACATACAATTACGTTATCGATTTTGAATTGTATCGTGACCCCTAAGAATCGGAATCGAACGGCGAGACACCCAGAGATTCACATCTCTACATCATACACTTACTTTCTCGTTGCCCGTTGCCCAGGGAGCCTCCCTGACGACAAACCCCTTAGATGGACCTCGCTGCTCGTCCGCAACAGCATTGCTGCCACCAGAAGACCTCATATATGCCCTTTTTTCCTCGTTCTCCGCAACGTCTGCCATCTGAGAGGAGGATAATTAAGTTAAGTTAAGTCTATTTTGATAAAAAACAGTTTTGGTCAAATCGACAAAAGGCTTACATATTCCTCTTCTAGGTTAAGAAGATGATCAATGGCTTCATCCACAAGTTCAGGGCGACCTGTAACTATCACCAGGTTTGGGTCTGCAGCTCCACTTTGGGGAAACCTGAGATCAACCTGAAGAAATTCCCACAGTCCAAGATTACATTAATGCCTTCAATATAACCAAAGAATAAACCCTGATCATTTGTTTCCTTACCATCATAAAGACTCACCTTAAACTCATCCATGATCTTGCGAATGCCTTTGCCACGAGCTCCAATAATGCGAGCATGAACCCTGCTGTCCAGAGTGATCTCCTCAGAGATCATCTCCTCCAGCTCGTCCACAATGGCCTGAATGGCATCACGTGCAGCTATGGCTTTGTGCTCATACCCTGTAATGGTAATCTGGTCCTGTTGGAACATTACAAAAAAAACACCTTTAGGCACCAAGAATCCATTGTCCACGTCACTTTTGTCCACTAATACATCTGTAACTTTAACACAGTTACTCTGATTTTCTACCTGGTTTTCATCATTTTTCTCCGGGAACTGGATGTTGACATCATGTTCAGTGCGGATGTTTGTAATGATTGCACCCTTTCGGCCAATGATTTTGGGGTGATACTTGGGATCCACAGTGATGGTTAGCTTGAAGCTCCTTAGCGCCTGCAAAAAATTTGACATAACACACGTGCATTAGATTCCTTACACACACACAAAAAAAAAGCTGAGAGCTTAATTAGACTATCCTCAAGCCAAACATGAGAATACGTAGTTCATGATATACTAACCCGATCTTCCTGCTCGGCCTGCAGCTCCTTCACGCGCTCCAGAAGGCCCTCTTTGGCGCGATCGAGATGATTGGCCAAGCCAGTGATGGCAATTTTGTCAGAACGGAGCTCAGGAGCAGGCACTTGAATATTTACCTGGAGGTAGATGGGGAAGAGCAGACTGAATCACCACCATTTCCAAAAAAAAAAAAAAAAAAAAAAAAAAAATCTCTGTATTAGATCTGATTAAAGTTACCAGCCCGCACCTCAAATTCATCCATCATCTTACGAATTCCACTTCCTTTTTGTCCAATGATGTATCTATGGAGCTCAAAAGGCACTTCAACCTCAATGGTGACAGGAACCAAGGCCTGAAGAAAGGTGATAGTATTTTAATATCAGTAAAGAGGCAGTAGGCTATCGCCGTCCAACAATCTTCATTGCTTTCTCTTTGCTGCTTAGATTAGAAGATCCTCATATTGAACTTTTGAAATTTTTTTTTTCCATCTTTTGTAGACTTGACAACAGGACTGTCCAAAGCTAGCATAGCAACTGAAAACATAAATAAGTCTAAAAATGGTAAACATCAATCAGAGCACAGGGTATGTTTTGAACGTATAGTGCTTTGATTGCTATTAGCTAGTCTCATTTTTATATAAAATTGCAATTTTAGGTTACTTTTTTTTTTAATGGCACTCATGTCAATCCAACAGGGGGAAAAAAAAAATATCACTACAGACAGCAGCCTATGATTTTAGTATGATACCAACCCTGAGTGCTTCGATGGCAGCCTCACAGCGCTCTTTACGACCAGAAATCACAATCACGTCACACTTTTTGGGTGCATTTGGATCGACAGGCTCCTTAACCTCCCCAGTCGCCTCCCCGTTCTCAACTGGAGTGTCCGCAGGAGGTGGTGCTTCAACATCAACAAGTGAGAGTTTCAATTCAAGTCTACAGCATCATGTGAGGAACTTCAATAATGACTACTTTTTTTTATACCTTGTGGATCCTCACGCTCTGGGAACTTAATTTGAACATTGAAATCTCTGGTGATCTGCTGGATCCTTGAGCCCTTGGGACCCATAATGGAGCGGTGGAACTTTTGAGTAATCACGCACTCCATGGTCACTTGAGCGTCCTGAAAACACAGTATTTGCCCATCAAAAAAACGGTCTGTAAAACCAATTAAAACTGACAAAGAATCATGAGTTAACGGAGGTGCTCTGACTAACCAAGTCGCTGACGATCTCCTGCATGCGCTTCTTGGCTGCCTCCACACATTCTTTGGCTCCTTTGAGGGTGACCTTATCGCTCTGAGAACCAGTGCGAGGGAAACTCACCATAACCCCGCCGTATTCATCAGCCAGGTCCCTCAGGACCTGGCCGCGGCGAGAGACAAAGTAGCGATGATGCTTGGGGTCGACATTCATCGTATCTTCGACTACATTATCCTGTAAGAACAGATCATTGTTAAAAACGTAAATCGCAGCGTGCACAACCAACTTGTCTTCTCTTCTAAGCATGCTGCAGACTTGCCAGACTCTTAATAAGTTCCTCAAGCTCCTTCTGGGCCTCTCGCACTGCTTCCTCTGTCCCAACCACAGTAATGAGCTCCTGATCTTTGTCATCAGGAGTGGGGAAAATAATCCTTGCCCCAGTGCTGTCCCGCACCTTTCGAATGTTTCCACCACCTTTTCCAATGAGAAACTTATGGTATTCTGGTTTCGCACGCAGCTCTACGGTGTGGCTCTTTGTTTGCTAAGGAGAGAACCCACATTAATCAAAGTAGATGAGTGTCAAGAGAGAAGAAAAAAAAGAAAAAAATTTTTGCTTTAATGAGATGTTTGTACAAACCTTCTCCTCCGCCAAGCCTAGCAGTTGCTGCTTGGCCTTCTCCACATCTTCCAAGGGTCCACGGATGGTGACCTTATCAATTCCAGATCCCTCTGAAGGAAAGTGGATGTGTACACCACCACACTCCTCCATGATGGAGCGCACCAAACGACCCTTTGATCCAATCAAGGAGTTATGCAGTTTGGATGGAATGGAAACTTCTACCTCCGTGATGTTGGCCTAAACACAATGAAGAGCATTTAATATTTAAAAAAAAAAAAAAAAAAAAATGTTAAGAAGACATATAAACACTAGATTAACTTGATTTAAATGCATACACAAAATTCATTTTAAACTAAAATAATATCTCTAGCCAACCAGATAATTTACCACCAGAAAAGACTGTTTTCTTATTTCACAAAATTACAGCCTGTCTCTACAAACAGAAACTTGCGAATCCTTGTGCATACAAGTCGATTGTGTATTTCAAACAATGAATTTGCATTCGTGCAGTTTCGCTCACCAGCTCCTTCTGAATTGCGAGAATGCGACTCCGTGCAAGCTCACAGTTTGCCTTCTTCCCAGTGATAATGATCATCTCCGAGTTGCTATTCTCGGCAGGAAGGTCAATTTTTGTGTTGGTGTCCTCCCGAATCTAAACAAGAATCTAAATCAGTCTAAAAAAAACAACATCTCTGGCCACATGTTTACGGACATTGTATCCATTCCCTGTGATATCAGTACCTTTTTGATGTTTGATCCTCCTTTTCCAATTATGTTTCTGTGGAACTGCTTGAAAATAGGGACCGAGACAGAATGGCTGTTCTCAACCTGAGAGGCAAAAAAAAAAAAAAAAAAAGATTAAGTTGTCACTAAATAATCTGAACAGTGAACAAGACAATATATACTTACCATTTCAGCCACTATCTTCTGCATAAATTTGGAGCATTTTTCCACCTCATTTCGTGGACCTCGAAGTTGAACGATGTCACTTTTTTGGGCTGGGTCAGGGAAATTGATGATGACCTTAAATAAAGAAAAACACATTTGACTCTTACTGGATGGAAAAAAAAAAAAAAAAGGCAGACATCGACCACAATCAACAGTTTGAGACTCACATCTGGGAATTTGTCGCGCACTTCTTTGATTTTCTCTCCTTTTTGGCCTATGATGGCTCTGTGAAAACGCTGTTCAATGATCAGGTCCTTTGTACGCTCATTCTCCTGTAAAACAACGTTTAATGCAGTGCTATCCATAGATTCAAGGAAACCATACTGGCCAAAACGCCTATACCGACCATGCGTGACGCAAGCTCAAGCAGCTCCTTCTTGGCTTCCTGTACACCTTGAGGATCTCCCTCAATACGGATCAAGTTGCTTTTCTCATTGTCGGGTGGAATGCGGACAGTCACCTTGTGCAGCTCTTTGATGCGGTTGACTGGAAATAAATCATGTGATTCATTCAACGTTCCTTTGCTGCTTGTTTTTTTGGCTCTGTTGCTCATTTGTTGCAATGCCAAAGTAATTGACGTAATCAATTCTGTACTTACTGTTAACACCTCCTTTTCCAATAAGGTGCCGATGGAATTTGGGATCCACACTGATTTCTGCATAGTCCATACGACTTACCTGTAAAAATTTAGACATTACACTTATTTAGAAGTGACAAGTTTGATTGTTCATGAACATCAACGATAGCGTAAAAACGAATGTATCAAACGTGTCAATTTATTTTTAATACTCACTAAATCAGTAACTATAGCTTCAATTTGGCTCTGCACCATCTGCACGTCTTTGGTTGGGCCCTCCAAGGTGATCTTCTCCTCACCCTCAGTGAACTCAATATGCACCTATACAAATGTCAAAAGTTACCTACAAGTAAAAGCAAGCTTTTCAATCAGAGAATGAAAAGGAAGAATTAAAAAAATCATTTTAGAGACCTTGGGCCACTGTTGAGTTATCTTAGCCAGGTTCTGACCCTTCTTGCCAATAATAAAACGATGAAGCCAGGAAGGAGCCGAGACTGAGGAAACAGTATAACTGTTTGCCTGGGAGGAGAAAAGGTTTCATTTAGTAAGTGGGTTTTTTTTTTTTCTTGCTAATTTGTATTTGTCAGGTTTTTGTTTTTTTTGTTTTTTTACCTTAGCATAAACCTCAGTGAGAGCCTGACCGAGACGACCTGGCTCTCCACGAAGTATTACAGTTTCTGAGCTGCTGTCAGACGGTGGGATTTCAACAGACACACCAGTTCTATCCAGAATCTCCTGCAGGGTATTTCCTTTTGGGCCTATCACATACTTGTGCTGGGCCTTCTTAACTTCCACTGCAATAGTAGTGGCATTCTTCTTCTGCAATACAACAGATGGGTGTGAGAATTTACAATTTATCAATCGTAATCTGAAAACGCAGGTATTTTCAGTTCAACACCCATTTTCAATTTTAGCAAACCTTCTCATCATAGATCTTCTTGATCAGAGTCACAGCAAGGGCCACCTGCTCTTTCTCCCCAGTGATGACTATCTCCGTCTTGTTCACACTCGGAGGAGGAACATTGATGCGTGCGCCCGTCTCCTGCATCATTTCTCCTACCAGCTTGTTGAAGGCACCAGTGATGAATGGATGGTACACTTTCTCAATGTTCACCCTCTCAACAGCACGCTTGTCCTAAAGGTGCAAACATTGAATACATGGCAAAGGACAATGAATTAAATGACCACAATAAAAAAGGTGCATTTATAAATTGTACTGTTTAATTTTGTCATAAAGTTTTGACTTGTTATTGCAGCTTTTACAAAGAATAATTCTCAGTAGAAAAAGAGGTTGAATTACCTGCTCAGCAGAGATCAGCAAGATCTCATGCTTTGCCTTCTCTAAGCCTTCCTTTGTGCCAGAGATCTTGATCTGATTGCTGGGGTCTTCAGGTCGTGGGATCTGGATTTTGGTGGCAGTCTTGAGTTCCAGCTCTTGAAGCTTCTCCCCATTTTTACCGATGACAAAACGATGGTGCTCTTTGGGGATGGCAACAGCAGCTGTAGCCTGTTGTCATTAGAACGACAGTCAGACATAACAATAGTGCGTTTGGTCTTTAAGTATCGAAAATCCCAATAGTGCATTAAAAACCGTTAACATCTGAAGGTCTGCTGACCTGAGTCTGCAGTCGGGACACGATCTCCTTGCGGGCTTTCATCACAGCATCCAGTTTTCCAGAAACCATGATGGAGAGACCTTGATCTTTAGCCAGGGAGAGTTCCAGATGGGCTCCGGTCTTATTCATGATGTCTACACAGACTTTCGCCTGGTCACCTTCCCCAAACTGGTTGATGTCCTTGTACCTGCGCTCTTCAAGGGGCACATGGAAAACCTACATTGCAAAGAACAGTATTTTTTTTCAATTGTTAATATTTTGTGTTCCAAAACGTGTTTGGTTTACTTGCACTAAGGATAATAAGCCCTTATGCACATGAACTTTAACAGCCATCGCCATATTTAAAATTTTAAGTGTAACACCTGGGTGATGATAGAAGACTTGAGTGGACGGATCTTGGAAGTCCAAACAGTTTCTTGGGTCCCCTCAGTTGAGGCCGCCTTCTCTGGCAGAGGTGGGAAGGCTTCCTTGTAAGTAGGAAGGGCGTCTTCCTCCTCTCCAGCATTGGGTCCTGCCACAGGAGCGACAGTAAATATATGCGTGGTAATGACTCAAATATGGTTGCTGCTCCTACTATTCTCACGCAAGGAAGAAACACTCACCACCACTTTGCTCTGGCAGGAGCCCACTGCGGTGCTCATTGAAACTTTCCTGCGTAAGTACAGCGACTGAGCTCATGGTTAAAATCCCACGTTAACACAGAGTCCGAGTGTGCCACTGGAAAATATGACATTTTGTGTCAAGTGTCAAGTTTAAATTGTGATTGTTGTATAATTTACGTATGCACTGAAATTGTGATTGTTGTATAATTTACGTACGCACTGACTGTTACTGTTACTGTATGTCAGTTCATTCTAAAAGATTCACCTTATCTTGCCAAAGAGTTTGTAATTGTTTTTACAGCTTACTTTCAAAGTTCAATTTTTGTTTTTTTTAAATCATGTTTACCCTAGATGAGGTAATGAAGTTAATGGACTAGCAGCTTTTTTTTCTTTAAAGTTAAAGACACCAAAAAAGACTAATATAGCAAGTTATTCAAATTGATTGGATATGAAACCACAATAATACTAAACCAATTATTTTTTTCAGTTGAGTTAATGTATTATTTGTCCATCCTTTTGTATGACAGATCAGTAGTTCTTGATTTGCTTTCACAGGTTCAAAAATCTAATCAACGCCTGAATGACTGACTGCAATCAACCCTAGTGTATATCATGTATGGACTTTGGGATTCTTACTGTTTTCCCCCCATTTGTTTTTATCAGCTGTGTTGTAGTAAACAATCAGTCCCATTCATGTCCGTACATAGGCTCTGACCCTCAGTGATAAAGAAAGATAAATAGAAATAGAGGGGGGTGGGGTTCTAGCTTTGGTCAAAAGACTGAACTAACTCCAAGGGTTGCAGACCAGGTGGGTGTGCTCCAAGGATAAAGAGTATTAAGTAGTGCAGTTACATGAAGTTGACAGACGTCAATCACTGCATCCTTGTCAATGTGTGAAGGACCATATCTTGTATGGAAGCATTTGGTTATAAAAGGGTTTGTTTTATTTGTTTTTTTCCTGGGTTACGGTAAAGACATCGCTGGCTATGTAGGAAGAAAACACTGGGATTGCAACAGACCCTCATTATGTTAAGAAAAAAAAATGAATATTTTTACAATAATTTACTCAATTTTTTGTACTTTAAAATCAGTCAACGGATTGAAGTTATTCACTAGTTTTTAAAATCAGTCAACGGATTGAAGTTATTGACTAGTCTTTCGAAAAGAATATAGGAACTTACGGCACTTGTTTATCACGTGGACCTGATTTGTCATGATCTAACTATTTATCAACATTTTTTTCTTTAATACTTACCAGCTAAATGGTCAGTTACCAGATAATCCGTCCTGAAAGATGCAAGTTCCTGTCAGCCTGCCAGCTTTTGCCTAAAAAAAGAAAAGCAAAAAATTTGAAAAATACTTCTTAAAATACAAAATAAAACAGGCAGTACTGCAGTATTTTAATAAAAAATATTTTTAAATATTTACTCGGGACATTTGTGGGTGTTATTTAAAATTCTAATAACCAATTAACTAGTGTTTGTACATATTTAAATTTCATGAATTAACAGAGTATTGTTTGGTCTCAAACTACACATTAGTCAGCTTTCACTTTTGAAGACCTAGTTTAGACTTGACAATTTCTTACAGTATAGTAGTGTAGTGACTTGTTACTTTTGATGACAAAACACTATTAATTAGTTATTTTAAATAAACCACCTTGCACTTTCAGACTTTGTTATAAAACAGATAAATTAAGAAGAAAAAAAAACAATCATTAGTTTAAAGAACAAAAGAATAAAATCATTATTACATCGAAATAGCTAAAAGTATTAATTAATAAAAGTATTTTTTAATTTGCAAAAAACAGTATCCACAATTTAACAAAAATTTTAAAATGTTTTTTTTTAAAAAAAAAAAATTCGTCTAATACAAGTGTTTATATTAGATAATATGAATAACGTCAACCTAATACAAGTGTTTATATTAGATAATAATATGAATAACGTCAATAGCGACAGTGACGAAGTCTGCTCACAGCAGTGGTGACTCAGCAAGAACGGAACCCATGAATTTAAATGACACGTGTCACCCGCATCACAGTGCATCTCTAGGTTATTTTACGTGTACTTGTGCGTATTTGCGTAAAAACTGACGAAGAGGGTATGAAGTCCACTTTTAAGAAGAGCCATAAAACCGATGTTACATAAGGCTCTGGTATCATTTAACTTAGGGCTTTGCTGCTAACGGGTACACCGTCTCGTATAATTGATTAGTTATTAGATAGCAGCACCCTGTCAATATCCTAAGTCAATACAGGTCGGTAAGCAAACCCCAAATTCAGGGCTTGACATTCGTTGTTAGTCATATTAAGTCAAAAGCTGACAGCTGCCCAATAACACGTTACACTTCTGGCTAGCAGCCGTCGTATTCGCTAACGCTAAAAAATAGTATAGAATTACGGACCAAAAAAAGATTATTTACTGTTAGGCTCTCAAGCAACACTGCGTTTATCGTGAATGTACGCCAGCAAAAGAGAAAAACGAAGACGACTTCAAACGACCGACGTCGACGAAGTAATGCCTTCGCTCGTTAGCCAACTTGCTATAAACTTTGCTTGCTATCTGTGACTGTTACAGGTAGCTTCATTGCTAAAGAGGTTTTCTCAGATTCACGAAAATACAATTATGCACAACGACATACTGCTAATACTACACATGAAAAAAGACACGAACATCTAACCAACTCCAGTCACACACTGTAGTCATTTTCTAATTAGCGACATTTTGTCAATACGCAAACTTTCTTTAAACTTACAGCTATGGTGTGCCTTGCAAATGTGACACGTAGCTTCTAGGTTAATAGGTGGCTTGGCTCGAACAGACCCACAAAGCCAGGCCATTTTTACAATTTTAACGTTGACAATATAACGACGCGAACATTATTATTGGTATGATGTTAAACACCTCAAAATGCATAATAAAATAAAAACGTCTGTAGTGCTTTAGTGCTTTAAACTTACTATACATGTTAAAATGATATGATTGACTGCTTTCCGGTTAATAATTCGTTTTCTCTTTGAGGTCAGCCTTTTCATTTAATGCAAGAATGAGGTGAGTTTAACCAATATAAAATACTATCTTAATAGATTAGGCACTCAACAGTGTACGATTACGAATGACACGTTCCCCTTAGCTAAAAGCTATCTCAAAATAGTCCAATAAAACTAAATTGATTGCGCCTTCAGTCAGATACACATTTCGCCGACAACAGAACTAATAAGTACAATGTAAAAAAAAAAATCCAATACTGCTTAACAGAATTCCACGGCTCTAGCCAATTAGTTAGCTAACAACTTTGAATGTGGTCTCACCTAGCACCCAGCTAAGTGCTAGCATTGCTCAAACACAACTTTATGATTTACATTTTACGAGTTTGCGACACGAAGTCAACGTATTTAAAATATTTGGCCACGTAATGCCCAATTCACATTTTTCACTGATATAAAATTGTATACTAATGGGCCCTTAGATGGGCAGAAATTACAAGTAAAACTGGGATGGGGCAGCTAGCCTTGCTAGTGTTAGCCTGGATTACAGTGAGCTCTGAGCTCGCTCAGTCCACGTAGGCACTTACAACTGAGCCGCAGAAAAGACACGGCGTCAGGCCAGAACACACTGCACCGACCAAGGTTTCGCTCAAAAACTATCTGCCCCCTTTCCCATACCATCCACAACAAGTAACATTACCGCCTCAGTGTCGTCTACCTGCAGTGGTCATGTCATAGTCATACGCTTTCCTCAGCAGACAAAAAAGTAAAGTACTTACTTCTTTTATGTTCTCGTCTGCCCTGAAGGTGCAGGCACCGATATTAAATTCCACTGGCGAGAAGGTGGGGTTAAAGTTTGGCAAGATATATACCAGAGTCATCCACCAATCACCTTCTGTTACGTCACGACCAAGCGTCCGATTACATGTAGGACATGCGAGTGTCCTCTGAAACCACCACGCACACATACACTAATTGTTTTTAATTATTTTTGCGGACTACATATTTTATGAATGTACGGTGTCTGATAAACGTAGGTAAAATTTAAACAGAGTAAATGTAACGTTAATTTATTGACTAAAACCTCAAGTTAAAAAAGGAACGCAAATCAGCATACGATAGGTATCTACGACGGTGGCTATTGCTAAAATTAACCTGTTGAACAAATAAAGAAAATATTGAAATTGAAAACTTCCTATTTCATCCCATTCCCTTCCTCCATCTTGGGATCCTACCACCTGTCATATTTTTGAAAAGCAGGCGGATAAGTAACAGATTTAGCTGATAGGTAACAGCTTATCCCTATCAAAGTATGTCTCAATGTGGTAAGAAAAACCACAAAAAACCTCAAACGTGGTGGGAGGCAAACACTGTATGGCAGTAATGTGGTATGTTCTTTTGTATAATAGAAGAATACACTGGTAATGCTGTTGAAAAATATTTATGGTAAAAACCCATGGTTCTGTATGACGACGCATGAGAAATAGGTAAATTTTAATATTTATTATATTTTATAAGCGGAATGTCTCCAGAATTATAATGGAAGAAGTTTCAAATATTAAAAATCTCAATCGAAACTTTTTCTTCCACTAATTTTACACTTTAATAAAATGACCACTAGAGAGCGCTGCATCCCTGCAATGAAATATAACATGCTCTCAAGTCTTTAGTGTTCTACAAATTCTTCTTTCGGCTGTTTACCAAGGTGGGCCGCCACAGTGAATCATCTGGCTCCATCTCAACTTTTTTTTTAATCAATGTAGTGGTCACAGAGAAATAGTTAAATGAAAACACTGTAGATTAAATTAGCACTATTTTAAAGTTGCAGTGAGACAATGTGATGCATGACTACATACATGCAAGACTGCATATATTTGAATAAGTGCTTGAACATTGGGTTTCATTGACATATGTGCTAATAAGAGGGGCTGAAAGGCATCATTCAAACTGACTCTGTGACCATTTGCTGAATAATATTTCAGTCTGTGCCAGAGTTTTTAATAACCATTTCTTCATTCACATATACATAGCATGGGCAAACTAAGGTCCGGGGTCCGGATGCAGCCCATTCAGCTTTTTAATCCAGCCCGCCAAACTTTCCAAATTATATAAGTTATTTACAGTATATTATCATTATACTTCTACCGTTTCCCTGCAATACCCACATTTCCCCAATAGATGACGTAGGAAATGATAAAAGCATTATAGCATTTAGTCTTTATGCATGAAACCAGCCACTAGGGTGCACAAACCCGTATTTTATAGTGCCAGTCCCAAACCCGAAGTTTGGAACTCTGAATGTAGGTACAATTAATGATTGCGAGTAGACATTTTGTCCTCCATTGTTCAATTTTAGGACAAATATGGCCTGTCAAAAAGTTCGCCCACGAGTGATGTAGCTCATAGTAGATGCTTCTCAGAAGTAAGCTGAGAGACTGGAGGAGGAAAAGGCAAAACTTTCGGTGGTGGCTGTCTCTTTCTTTAACTCATCAATTGATCTTTCATGGTGTCAATGGTGGAAAACCTTGATATTGGCGGAGTTGTTCCAACTGCTCTTGGTCACTAGTGTGTCACAAGTTGATGGCTTCCAATGGAATATGGCATGCTGTTCATAAGTGTACCACTGCTGTAATGCTTGTATGACAACAAGCCTCCAGTCACTAGGTGGCAGCGACTCATACAGTGGTTTGTAGAGATATAAATATAATAACATTTTAATAACATTTTATGGGCACATCTGGGAGCCTCTGGACGGCCCCTTGTCTAGACTGTTTCTGTCAACGCCCCTGCGAATAAAGCGAGTGGTGAACCTTCCTTTCTCATGGCTCACAAGTCTCCACCAATCAGACAACGACCGAGACGAGCTACAGCTAATCAGAGACGAGCTTCTGCACTGTGAAAGACGACGAAGCTGAGGAGCCATAAACTGGGGCTGTTTCCACTTCTCTGCTCCCCCGAACTTTTAGTTTTTGCACGGGACGTACGGTGAGTTTTCTCAGACTTTTTTTGGGAATATCTATACGACTTGTTTTTCTGAGACGAAAGTACTTTTCACGGGAAAGAAATCTCCACGGTAATGCTTAAAACACTTCAGACACTTCTTACGCCACCGGTATTTAAAGCATATCGAAAAGTTCGGCCACAACAACCTAGTTAAGGTAACCGCGCGTTTTGTTACTTGTTCTTTGGCGTTTGATACACAGTGTTTTATTTAAGTCGCGTTTGCGTTGAGTTTTTAGGCCGCACACGCGACATTTAAGCGCTACGTTCTTAACGCGGCTTATTGCTCACTGATTGCTAAACGTAACGCAGGATTTCTAATTTATTGTTTAAATAAAACAGCACAGTATAACCAAAGACAATGCAACTAAAATAAACAAAACACCATAACTCCATTGACCGAAATATGCACACTTTTATCGTCGTTGTGGAGGACGTCATTAAAAGATAATAAAAAAAATATATAATAGCACACGAAGAAGAATTCCCTCTGCTACTGTATTCTTCAGTGGTCGCCACACAGGTGTTCCATGTTTGTAGTGATTTGGCACGGTGTATACACCGCATGACCCTATTATTTAACCGGCGTTTTGCTCATTGCTCACACCGAGCTAGTTCTACGTAGTAATTTTAACAGTTAACTCGTCAAATGTGTCAAAGAACAATATAAAGGTACATACAAGGGATTTACTTACGTTTTTTACCTTTATCCCCTTAGGAACAAATAAGAAACAATACAAAGATATAAAAAACAGAACACAAAAGAATACATTAATTGCACTTGCATGGATTTTATCAAGTAATATTTACAGCAAATGACAACGCCTCTATCAAGTAACCAAATATGAGTGAATAGAGGTTGCGTATTTTGCCTTTTTTATTTATTGACAGAACTTACTTTATTCTGAAAAATTATTCAGAGAAAATTCCCAATTTTTTCAACTTTTTCTAATTTTCACAAAGCAGTGTGAGCAGCCGGACTATGATAAAAAATGAAATAGCTTCTTCTTAATTTAGACTGAGAACATACTGCATCACACTGCAGCACCACAATCAACCCCCATAGAAAACAAATAAACGTTGCTGGTAAAGAAAAGGATTTCAACTTCCTCCTCTTGCATTGTTTTTTTTATTATTTTTAAAGAAAAGGATTTCAACTTCCTCCTCTTACGTTGTTTTTTTTTTTCTAGGCCTCCATTCAAAGGTGGAGTAATAGCTGGCTGTTGTAAACATCACTTTTTAAATTAAAAACAATAGTATAGACAAAGAAATGACACCATCTACACGTGAATTGACTTGTTCACTTTGAAGATGTCTGTTTTAAAGAAGATATTTTCTGTGTTAATAGTTCCAAAAGTGATAGGACAGCTATTAAATTGTTGCATTCTCAGGAACTTTTATTAAAATTCTATTTTGTGCTGGTGATGATTTTTCTCTCTCCTCATTGTGATAACTTTTGTCTTCTTGCAGGAGTGAGGTGGTTTTGGAAGTGGAGGATGATGGGGGAGATTGAGGGTTCATACCGGGCCCTACAGACCCCCGGCACCAGGCTGGGAACCAAGTTCAATGCTGGAATCAGCACTCTGGAGCCAGGCCAGAGCCTCAGTGGAAACATGGTGGGCGGGAGCAGAAGCCATACGCGAGGAAAACAGATTCGAGTGCAGTGGTTGGACGATTCAGAGGAGTTTTTTGACGTTAATGTGAGTTTTATACATGCCTTTTTTTTTTTTATTTGTTACTATTAACGTCAAAGGCTTGGTTCACTGCAAGAATTATCTTACCTTGTAGCCTCCCAATCATGCCTCACATTTGTCTGCCTGGAGGCCAATGTCTTTGACTTTGGTGATATAATGATGTCTCAAGAATTCTAAATTCTGACTAACTGAGTCTGTAATGATCTGAATATGTTTAAATCTACTGTTAGATTACAGTAGATCAGTGGTTCTCAATTATTTTCTGTCATGCCCCCCCCTTGTGGACAGAAATGTTTTCATGCACGCCGACTCACACCCCGGCGAATTGAAATACTATTGAGAACCAGATAACAAGTATATTTGTACAAAGCACTGTTTGAGTTGCTGCCACCTAGTGACTGGGGGCTTGTTGTTATTCACGCATTACAGCAGTGTCTGACTGTATAATAACTAATGTCCAGCGTGCCATATTCCACTGGAAGCCCCTCACGGCCCTCCTGGCACCTTACCGCACCCCCGGGGGGGGGGGGGGGGGGACTATTTGAGAAGTACTGGATTACATAAAGGTGCCACGATGTGATACATTAACAAAGGAGGAGGTACCATTAAATGGATAGTTGCAGCTCACAGGCTGCCACAGTGGAGGCGCTATTAAGTTGTTGTCCTCCTATGTTCTGTGCTTGTACTGCTTTTTTGTTGTAGTTAATTGTACACATTTGTGTACCTTTTCCTCATAGCTTGGTTGGTATTTTTCATTAAAGCAATAGTTTAGATTTCAGCTTCAGTTTTGACAGTACTGACGTTGGTATTTTTCATTAAAGCAATAGTTCAGATTTCAGCTTCAGTTTTGACAGTCCTGACATGCTGTGGTGTTTATGTTTGCAGAGGTCAAATGACTTCTATTTAAACAGTCATTTTAAAATTACAAGTATCTAAGGCGTCTGCCAGCAAGTAGGACTCTAGAATGACTATTTTATTATGACAACCTAAAATAATTGATGTCGTATAGTGTGTGTGTATGTGTTTTCGTAGACTGTACAGCCTATACATATGTTTTTATCTTTTTTACAAAACAGGTGACAATAAGTTGGAAGAGAGTCTTTGTGTTTTGATAGTTAGAAGCTTTAAAAAGAGGGCCCACAGCAACCTGCTGTTGGTAGGGGATTTTTTTTTTTTAACAAGGACTGCTAGAGACTTTCCCTTTGCTGCAATTTAGAACGGCCCAGCAACTGAAACTGCTTTGCTATGCAACCAATACGTCATGTACGTATGTCCCGCTATTGAGGGCTCGAGCATAAAACACCAGCCTCCAAAATGAGCCTTCAAAAGCAGCTATGTACGAAGCTACTTTAAAAGAACCACATTGCTTCTTGAGCTTCTTTAGAAGTTGTTGTTGTTTCTGTTTTAACCACTAAAAAAAACCACAAGGCGAGGTCTTGTTCACTATCCATGGTCCTGTCCTTTGAGATTTTCAGATGCAACAGCAGCCCTCCTTTAAACACTGACAGATATTTACCGTATTTGTTGATGGGATGCTTTTATTTACAGCAAATCGTATAGCTGTTGTCATAAAACATGTTGTTGTCCCTGGATCATAATACAACAGTAAGTACGCAAACTCAGCATTTAGTAGTCAAGTTCAGTACTCATTTTTTTGTGTAAATCTTGCTTGGGATTATGAGATTTTATTATTAGGAAGTGGAGCAAGATCGACAGTATTTATTTTAAAAAAAAAAAATCATCCATAGCAAGAAAAACCTGTATATTTTGATACATTTAAACAGTAAGTGATGTATGGCTCATATTTCTTCCAGAGCATTGTATTGAGTTGACAGTGTGTTTTTTAATCTATGCCCCCCTGCCAAGACACTGCAGGAGCTATTGAGAAGGCAAACGGAAGCAGTAAGGAAGCAGTTCTTGGAGCACGTTTCCTTCTCTTTGATGCAAGGGAAAATAAGTCAAAGTGGAGGCTCGACAGTAAACAAACACGTGCACTGAATCGTTGAGCGGTGCAGCACACTCATGGTTAGTGTGTTTACCTGCTGCCGTGTCTCTAATGTGTGGAGTCACAATGGTAATGATGCAGGCAGATGTAGCTTTGAGCCACTGCCGAGGCAGACACTGTATAATCTTGTGCACCATATGTTGTCTTAAAGTCTTAAGCTAAAAGAAACTGTGACAGACAAACGGTTTCATTTTTATGGTAGTTGTTCTGTGTGCGTTCCTTGAGTACAGTGCAGAAGAAACACTGTGTTCTTTTATAGTCGTGTTTTTATTCATATACAGTGGAACCTCGTAACTCAAAGAGCTTGTATCTCAAATCATTTTTTTTCCCATAAGAAGTAACAGGAAATCCGTTCCGGCCATCTAAAAAAACTCCCTTATTAGTGTTAATAGCAATTATAGTATTTAAAGATTCCTGTAATATACAATAAAATGAGTTTTTACCTTCGAGACAGACGATAATAACAAGGGAAAAGCTGGCCTGTACGTAGACACTTGATTCCATACTGCACCTTACATGTACACTATGTAACTTGAATAAACTTACGATTAACTTAACTTACGTTTTTTTTTTTTGTTGTTGTTTTTTTTTTCGATTTATACTCTTACTTTAGTGCAGTGGTTCTTAACCTGGGTTCAATTGAACCCCAGGGGTTTGGTGGAGGACAAGAGACACACCCGACTCATATGATTCGTGATGACACGCCCTCCGCTTGGCCATCACCGAAGGGTTTGGTGAATGCACATATGAAACTGGTGGGGTTCAGTGCCTCCGACAAGGTTAAGAACCACTGCTATAGCGGGCACCACGTTCATATTTATCGACAATTTCATGCTTTATTTCCATGGTCATCATGCGTTTCTTCTTCTCACTACCATCCTTACCACTCACTTTGTTTGGACTGATCACTATTATGCAGAATAATGTACAAAATAGAAAGAAAATCACGTAGATAACAAACACAATACAGAAGACTCGTGAGAGAAGTTGACAAACAAGTGAATGAGTGAGGCGGCGTGAGTGCTCGGCCACCTAGCGAGTCTGTAAGCGTGCTCATATCTCAAATCTTTACTCGTATCTCAAAGCAAAAATTTGCTAAAAATATATATATATATATATATCTTTAGGGCTTATTTGGACCTGAAAGTTTGACAAATGTATTTTTTCCTAATATAATCAATCAAAGCTGAAGTTTTACATGTGCACTCCACAGTTCAAAAATGTTTCATATACAATATATTTAAAAAAAATATATATATATATTTTAGAAAATGTTTTATCTTACAAATCAAAAGATATTAGGCAAAACAATTCAAGGAATTTAAATGTAAACCTTTTGATTTCTAGGAAAACATAAGTCGATCTGCAGTGTGGCTTTTACAGAACTAGATCAATGGGTTTTCCTCACGTAGTTTACTGATGTTTACCCTCCACATTTTTATAGCCTATATACTATATACTGTCAACTGGAGGTAACGATCACATGTGGTGTCACAGTGTAGGTAGGACTTTTTTTTGTTGTTGTTGTTGTATTTTGCTTCCTTTAAATATGAAGTGTCGGATTAGACTTAGACTCAGGCAGGACTTACAAATTGAATCTGGGTAGAAGCTGTTTTTCAGTCTCTAGGTTTTTGCCATTATTTAGAAGCACTGCAGTTTGATCCTCAGTTCTACAAGCTTTGTCACCAGTAAGAATATAATAAAATGTAAATAAAATAGTCTTTATTGTCATTGTAACATGGGGGTACTTCAAAATTGAGGAACAATGAATGCATTGGCCGGAAATCGAACCCGGGCCTCCCGCGTGGAAGGCGGAACTGAAGTATGGTGGTGTTATATGCAGAGAGCTGAAGTCAGGAAACGTTCATTCTCACTTAGCTGTCCTTGTTCTCCACGTGAGACAGAACCTGGTTGGTCTCAACAGAGATGGCGTAAGCTGTAGATCAATTTCGTCTGTGCACGTACCAATTAAAATCTTCAGCCATGTCAGTGACTGCTTCAGTCAGAGTTCAACGGGGCTGTAATTGTTGAGGCGTGATGCCACATAAGTCTTTGGCAATGAAATTATTTGCAAGATGGCCTGTGACAGCCAGATGTTAAATATGTTTGGCAAATCTTAGATACTTGGTGTGCCCTGCCTTTCATGACCCGGCCTGGGAAGCCTTCAGGACCTGTGACCCTTCTGGGGGGGGGTTGACTAGGCGTTCTCCACTGTAGTTACACTGATCACTAGGGGGTGAACAGTAGCCAGTAGTTAGTGTCATTGTTGGAGGCCTCAAAGGTGGAATAGAAGGTGTTTGATGTTTTAGGGAGGCCAGGGTCTTCAGGCCACTGTGCATTATCCTTCTTGTAGGCAGAGGAGATTACACGTTATGCCCTTCCGCAAGTTCTTTCCTGGATCGTAAGAGCACATGCACACTTTGCACCTCTGCTTTTTAATCAGTGTTCCGGTTCAGCCGCGTGAGTGATGGTCTTGGCCGTAGTCACTTTCCCCATGCACTTCCCGATGTCGGCCAGGACGGATGATGTGTGCTCCCTTACTCTCCCCAGAAGTCGCAGGCACCCTTGATATTTGTCCGTCCGTAGCCACAAAAGCAGGACAGCACTCTCGGGACACACAGAGATGGTCTTTGTTTCATTGCTCCTGCTCGTAGATGCTGGACAGTTTGCAGGAGGGAAATGTGATCCGAATCACTGAGGTGGGTGGGGGGGGGTTGGGTGTTATGCCGTACACTTCTCGTTTGTTGGTAAAAAACAAACAAAACACTTTGTTTTAAATGTTGTGATGTCGATGTTGACATGCTGGTGGAACACGAGGAGAGTGTCCTGCAGATTTACAGTATGTGATGAAAGTTCCCCGCCACCACGTAAAACACTGCTGGGCGGTTGTCTTTGACGCTGTCATACGGCCCTTGTAGGTGTTGTTAGCGGTTGCTATCATTTCTTTCTCTTGCCTGCATGTGGCATGTAGATGATTCATTGTTGTTACTAATTAGACACT